TACCCCCTCTCCTGGATGAAGGGGACAGGAAGGTGTCTTAATTTTGCCCCAGATGTAGAGGTTTGCTGGACTTGGTAGGACATCGTAGACAGTTTGGACTAAGAACCTGATACGATGGAAGTCTCCTTTCCAGATGTCGGCCCAGGTGATCTTACGTTGCCGAACATTTTCCCATTTAGTCCAAGCTCCTTGCTGTCCCATTCCCACCATCCTGCTAGCTCTGACTTCCTCCACGCCTGCCCCCACTTCCTCCTGAACAAGGTGTTGACGCTCTTTACCTTGAGCATTGTCAACTCTTGTTACCGGTAAGTAGCCAAAGCCTGCACGCCCTGTTTCAATGGGGCCCACCAGTGCCTTTTGCCTCAGCCGTGACTCAGCCACCTGTATGCCAGCTGCTGCCACCTTTGGGTCCCTGGACTCTCTATACCAGGGTTCCTCAAACTCGGCCCACTGTCCTGCGGAGTTTGATCTCCAACCCTGATCAAACACACCTACCTGTGAGTTTCTAGGGATCCTGAAGACCTTGATTAGCTTGATCAGGGTTGGAGCTAAACTCTGCAGGGACAGTGGCCCTCCAGGACCGAGTTTGAGGAACCCTGCTCTATACTGCCATGTTTCCCCTGTTCTTGACACCATGAACTCCTCAGAAAGGCTGTTAATTGGGATTTGCAGGACATTGCTGGTGCCGTACAAAGCAGCACTGCTCAGACTGCGAGGTAACCCAAGCCATGTACGCAGATAGCTGCTGATCTTTCTCTCCAGGGCCTCTACAGTTGTTATGGGCACTTCGTACATCAGCCGGGGCCGCAAGATCCGGGGCTGGACAGAATGCTGGTAAATCCAGGCCTTGGACTTCCAGGTAGACCTGATTTGTCCACCCTGCTAAGCCGAGACTCAAGCTCTTTGGTTTTCTGGATGGAGGCAGAATCTTTGAGGCTACAGTCGAAGAGCTTCCCGAGGCTCTTGATTGTCTTCTTAGTAATGGACGGGATGGTGACTCCGGCCAGTGAAAATTGAAACTTGTCCACTACTTTCCCCCTTTTGAGCACTAGTGACCTTGATTTTACTAGTTTAAAGCTCATCCTTTCCCAGTTGATGAGTTTCTCTAGCCCTTGGAGAATCCACCTGCTGCCCGGTACGGATGTAAATGGTAAATGGAAAGCGCTTTCACAGACCCAATGGCCACCAAAGCGCTTTACATTTTGCCTCACATTCACCCATTCATACACCGACGGCGGTGTCAGCCATGCAAGGCGCCATCCAGCTCGTCAGGGGCAGCTGGGGTTAGGTGTCTTGCTCATGGACACCTCGACACTTGGTCAGGTGGAACCGGGGATTGAACCACCAACCTTCCGGTTTGTAGACAACCTACATGAACCACTGAGTCGCTCTCCAGATTTCATCAAAGGGCCTCTGCACTTTACCTCTGCCGACTTCACAATAATGTTCATGGCAAGGGCGAAGAGAATGACTGAGATGGTACAACGTGTAATTATGCCTTTCTCTAACCGATGCCAGTCTGATGCATCTGACCCAGTGGTGGCTCCTAACCTGAACTTGCTGTAATAATCCAGTATACGGTCCGGGATTTAGCTGGGAACATAATGTCGCTAGAGGGCAAGCACAATGAGATTGTGTGGTATGGAGCCATATGCATTAGCAAGGTCCAACCATAACATTGAAAGGTCTTCACGAGCCTCCCTAATGAGTTGTGTGATGACTCCCGTGTGTCCCAAACAGCCAGGCACTCCCGGGATTCCACCCTTCTGAACAGAGGTATCAATATAGTTGTTCTTCAAGAGGTACTCCATTAAGCCCCGTTCACACTACAAGCGACAAAGCGACACCGTTCATTTCAATGGGGAGCGGGCGATTTCCAGCGACACGGGCGACAGCGACCGGATGGGGCGTGTCTGGCGACGCAACAAAGTTGAGATCTGTTTAACTTTATTATTTTTACAGATTTTTATTTATTATTATGTCATATAAATATAAAGGTCTAATATTTGTAAATGAAATAAATACACAATAAAACATAATAATTAAATAAACTCAAACTCATAAATATAATATACTATAATACGATATATAAAATTATAATAGTAAATATTTTTTTTATATATGTAGTATTTTTATCATTGCTTTATTGTAATTGGTCAATGCCATTTTGGTTAAAAACAATATTAATAATTATAATAATACAATTATTTCACAAAAAAAATATTTTATAATATAATATAATGAATGCATTATTATTAATTTTAAGTAGCCAAAGTTGCTTTGTGTCACCGTCTGTACATTTATTCCTTAGTTGTTATATAAAATATTCAGTCTAGACATGTACCTGAAGAGTTATTTCTCCGTGTGCATTCCCAAGACATGTTTTTTCTGTCATGCTTATATTTCATATGGCCATCTAGAGTTGCTCAGAATAGATAATTTGTGATATGTTTAATGTGTTGTGCAGAATGTGTCATCAGAAGTGTCCGGCGAGCTCCAGTCAGAATCTGAAGAAGCTTCTGTCTCACTGCGAGGACGTTTACACACACTATAAAGTGGCGTACGAGCACCAGTTCCTGGACGTGGCCAACATGCTTCTGCAGGACTCCCGGAGCAACAGCTTCCTCAACGACCGGCTCGGCACCTGACACATCAATAATCATAATCATAATAATAATCAACATGCGTCTGCAGGACTCCCGGAGCAACAGCTTCCTCAACGACCGGCTCGGCACCTGACACAACAATAATCATAATCATAATAATAATCAACATGCGTCTGCAGGACTCCCGGAGCAACAGCTTCCGGCTCGGCTCCTGACGGGAAAACTTCATCCTCACCTTTCAATATGACAAAATATGGACACAAATCAAAACGAAATTTCCTGTGATTCATTTCCAGTAAAAATTAATTTAAAAAATTTGACCATTTTCAGACGTCTATGTTCGTGTCGTGAAGTTCTCTCCCCATTAACACTGTAAACACTGTTTCCCTGATGAAGTGAGTTGTCCTTAAAACAAGAACACATATTTCCCAGTGAAGACAGAAATTAACTTCAATCAAAGGGAAAACAAGATTCTTTTTTTACTCCGTTGGCAGATATTTGTTCTTGTTTTTAGCAACAAAAATATAATTGTGATTTATTTTTTTTATTTTTTTAAATAAGACTTAATATTGTGTCTTGAATGCTTGATTGTAATTGGTCAGTCGTGTCATTATAATAAAATATAATATGTTATTAATATAGTATTTAGTTTATTCTACCTGATTGCAATTGGTCAGTGATGTCATTATAAAATATAATATTTTATTATAGTATTTTTTATTACTACTTGATTGTAATCGGTCAGTGGTCTCATAATAAAACAATAAAATATATTTTATTAATATAGTGATTTTTATTAATGCTTGATTATAAGTGGTCAGTGGTGTTATTATAATAAAATATAATATTTTATTAATATTGTGATTTTTATTACTACTTGATTATAATCGGTCAATGGTGTCATTACAAAAAAACATAATAAAATATCATTTATTAATATACCGGTAGTAATTTTTTATTACTACTTGATTGTAATCGGTCACTGGTGTCATTTTGGAGTAACATTTGTAAATTAAATAAATATTACAAGTAATAAAACAATACACCATGTAATCTAGCATCTCCAGTAAATGTATTTTGATTGAAGAATGTTTAGATATTTGTCCTGGAAACTCTGAGGAAGAACATCATTGTTTTTCAGTGTAATGACTCTCGTTAGGAAACTACAGTAATCATGATGACATAATGAGTTGTTTCTCACTCTGGTGTTTTACTCGTGTGTGTGTGTGTGTGTGTGTGTGTGTGTGTGTGTGTGTGTGTGTGTGTGTGTGTGTGTGTGTGTGTGTGCTGCTGATCTGCAGTTGAGGAGCGTCAGCACCAGATGTCTCTCCTGACTCTCACTTCAGCACTTTATATCAGTGTGTGTTACAGTCTGAATGAGTTTAATCACAGCTGCTGTGAGGGATACTGAGACTGATGGGAATACACAGAGACAAATCAATGATTAAACGATTTATGTCCATCACCCTAAAAATAGGCAACCGCTCGAGACCAAATTTACAGGTACAGTTCAACATGCATATACAACTATGTAAAATAATAGCATATTGCCATGCATTTAAAATAGCAGGATTTTATAATGCATACTGTAAAGTTAAAAGCATTTATTGTGCATCTGAAACTATAATATTTAAAATATCCAATAAGGCAAATAAAATATCTTTTTTTTTATTTAATTTTATAAATATAGTTTTAGTATTTTTTAAACATTATTAAAAAAGTTAAATGTTGAAAAAATATTTTAAATAATTTAAAACCCGAATTGCAAAATAAGAGCATGTTTAATAGTGATCGCAGACTGAAAACATACACAATATATTTCTTTGATTTACAAGCTTTAAAACTAGATGCTCCTCTCCTCTTCCCAGAGAACTGAATCATCTCTAAAAGCTTGTAAAAGTAGCTGATGTTGTTTATTAAACCTTTGGGTTTGCCAGTAATATGATATAGGAGACATAAGTTATGAGTCTCGCAGAAAAAGGAAGACTTTAATTGTGTCTGATGAGATTATATGATAGTTTAACCTCACGACACAGACTGTTATCTCTAATGGGCCGAACACTGAGTTACAGCGGGAATAAAACTCCTCAAACAACAGCATCTAATGCTCTGTAAGTGTTTATTGATTATGTTCACATTTTGCTAACATTCCAATTAAGTCATCAAAACCTTATTTCTGAATGTTCTCTGAACGTCTATTCTGCTTTCAATGTTTGTTTTTAGTGATGCGAATGTTAAGGGAACATGAACATTCCATTTTAGAATTCTGAATTCATTGTGGGATGCTACTTTTGAATGTTCTATCAGATAACTTCGAACGAACGTTCCATTGCCGTTGACAGAACGTTAGCTGAAGTTCTGAGAGCGTTTGGAACCCTCCTTTGTTGTAATGCAGTGCCGTTCACTGTAACGTGACTGAAGTGTCCTCGTTTGGTATTTTTGTCTTGTTAATTTCACAGTTAGTAGTTTTATTCCAGTTCTCCAGATTGACTGATGCACGCGTGCTGTTTAAGCGTCGCGTCAGAAGCGATCAGAGATCAGTCGCAGTCGCAGTCGGGGACGCGCAGATCACACGCTGCTTTCAGTCTCATCACGCGCGCACCCGCGGCTTTATCTGTCCGCTTCATGCGCGCGGGGTTTTTAACGCGCGCTCGTGTCTCCATGCGGTCCGCGTCACTGAGCGTATAGCCGCGCGTTGTAGCCTCGCGTCGCGTTGAGTCTCGGTGTTCTCTCGTCAGTCATGAGCTCCTGCGACCGGACACTGACTCTGCTGACCGCTGCCCTCCTCATACACGGTACCGGGACATTTACACTCACTGTTGATGATGTTATGTTATGTTATGTTATGTTATGTTATGTTATGTTATGTTATGTTATGTTATGTTATGTTATGTTATGTTATGTTAGTGTACAAGGGCAGTACTATGATACATTAGTAGCATCATTAATTAGCCTAGGCTACTGTACATGATCCTTCAAAGAATACCATGTTACTGCAATCAAAGTATCATTACTTAATCAAAAAACATGGAATCCATCCATTCATTCATCAACATTTGTTTATTTATGTATTTATTTGAATCTCCTGTGAGTTTTGTTTCTGTAGAGTTTGAACTAAAGTAAGCAGATGTTTGATCACTCTGAATTTGTTTCTGCGTGTGTGTGTGTGTGAGAGAGAGAGAGAGAGAGAGAGAGAGAGAGAGAGAGAGAGAGAGAGAGAGAGAGAGAGAGAGAGAGAGAGAGAGAGAGAGAGAGAGAGAGAGTGTGTGCGCGCGTGTGTGTGTGTGTGTGTTTTCTGAAGATCTTGGAACTGAAGCAGGTTTGTTTCCACCCACAGATCCACTACAAAATGACTGTGATCATCATGTTTTTAATAACCTGATTCTACTAAGATCTCAATTGATTTCCATTCAAGTCCAGAGAGACCGGTTCAGTCAGACGTGATTCTCCTGAACGTAAAGCTCTTCAGAAAGACTCAGCAAACAGTGTCACTGTCCTTTGACTTTCTTTTGCTCTCAAGCCGTCTGTTCTGACTGATTCCAGTCATTGTTCTTTGATTTGTTGTTCTGACCTTTACTTCTCGATTGAATATTCATATTCATCCTGCAGGAAATGATTGATTGATTTTGCAGTTTGAATGCTGATGGTTGTGTGTCATGTGTGTCGTGTGTTACGTGTCATGTGTCGTGTGTTGTGTGTTACATGTCATGTGTTGTGTGTCATGTTTTGTGTGTTGTGTGTCGTGTGTCGTGTGTTGTGTGTTATGTGTTGTGTGTTGTGTTATGTGTCATGTGTTATGTGTTGTGTCGTTTGTTGTGTCATGTGTCGTGTTTTGTGTGTTGTGTGTCGTGTGTCATGTGTGTTGTTGTTGTGTGTCGTGTGTTGTTGTGTTGTGTCGTGTTTTGTGTGTTGTTGTGTTGTGTGTTGTTGTGTTGTGTGTTGTTGTTGTGTGTCGTGTGTTGTTGTGTTGTGTCGTGTTTTGTGTGTTGTGTGTGTCGTGTCGTGTCGTGTGTCGTGTGTTGTGTGTTGTGTGTGGGTCAGACAGTCTCTCGGGGAACGCTCAGTGTAATTGAACGTTCTCAGTGAATTAAAGCTTCTTCATTTAAAAGCAGCTCAATCTAGAGAGAGCTTCAGCATCAGTCCTGAGAAGACTTAACAAAACAGTTCAAAGCTGAGAACTCTGGGACACATTCAGACAGAATTCAGATCAATTTGATTATTTTAAGGTGTTCGTTAAATTCTACTGACAGGACAGTCGAACTCTTCCAGATGAGAACCGGTTTGAGGATCTGGATTTGGTGGTTTAAAACTGAAAATAGGTCAAGAATTGTGTGTGTGTGTGTGTGTGTGTGTGTGTGTGTGTGTGTGTGTGTGTGTGTGTGTGTGTGTGTGTGTGTGTGTGTGTGTGTGTGTGTGTGTGTGTTCAGTATAAAAAACAATATGTCTATGGAAAGTCCCCATAAAACATTAAAACCCAACGTTTGTGTGTGTGTGTGTGTGTGTGTGTGTGTGTGTGTGTGTGTGTGTGTGTGTGTGTGTGTGTGTGTGTCAGTCTCTCTGCAGGGCGAGCACCAGCGACGGCTGTACAAAGACTTAATGAGAAACTACAACCCTCTGGAACGACCCGTTTATAACGACTCGCACTCGCTCACTGTGCACTTCAGCTTCAGTCTGATGCAGATCATGGACGTGGTGAGTAAACACACACACACACACACACTTCAATCAGAACACATTTAACTTTGGACAGGACTTGATTTTACACATTAGGGTTTGATTGGATGGTGAAATGTTATGATGTAATGATGTTATTGGTTGATAGTATTTTGCCCCGCCTACTTGGATTTTATTTAATCCTAATGCATTTCAGACAGAAAGTCCTAATTTAATATAAAAATGTGATTTAATGTGACATTTAATGTGACAATCACATTAAAAATTTAATGTGATTATCATATTAAATTATGTTTTATTAACAAAGTTCGGGTGGAACGCGTTCAAATGCTCTATCCAATCAGCATGAGAGGAGGCCTATGTATATGTATATACGCAGCCGACTCGCCTATGAATATAGGAAAATTATGAAATTTGGTACACTTGTAGTGATAGTCATGAATAGTAATCTGACCAATTTTGGACTCTACAGCGCCACCACCAGTTCAAAAATCCACTTTTCTAAACTTTTCTAACTTTTGAACCCTTTGATCAAGAAAAATTAGACTTAGTACACCTGATTCCTCTCTTCATGCTGATCGCATTCCAGATGGTCTCAGATGATCTTTGGACCAATCTGCACAGACATAATTTTTATTCATATTTGTTCAAAAGTTAGGATGTTGCAAACTTAACTAGGTTGACCCGAAATTGGTTCAGAGGCTGTATCTTGGCCAAACTTTGATCAATCAAAACGAAAATTGGTACGTTTCATCTGAACCATGATCTGAGTGTCCGTACCAAATTTGGGAACAGCGCCACCTACAGGTCATGAGATCTGAAAAATGTATTTTTTTGCCAATAACTTTTGAACAGTTTGAAAATCCTGATGCACCCCTTGACCAACTCCTCACTCCGCTGGTTCCTAACCGAAATGATATTATTGAATTGTTTGATGATATTATGATGAATATTCAGTTCTGTCTGAACATCTTAAACCAGCCTAAACTGGTTTGCTGGTCTTAGCTAGTGGTCTGTTTAATGGGTTCAGAAGGGGTTCGGGCACTTTTTATTCAGAGGGTATCTGTGGTGAGTGAAAAACCTCACAAAAATATCAGATATGAATAGATAATTGGAATTGAGCAGTTTGGCATGTGGTGTCAGATCGAACAAAAATGTTTATATTTTATAGATAATTTCAGCTAAGACTTCTGTTATTTACATTCAGACTTTTTTATCCAAAGCAACCTAAAATTGAGGAATCCAGCAAGAAAATATCTTTTTAATGGTCTTTTGGTTGCAATATAATATATATTTGGTGGCTGAGGAAACCGTGTGTGTGTGTGTGAGTGAATTTTGAATATTAATGAGATAAATGAAGTGGATCTGTTGACAGAGCTCATGGAGGAGAAGGTCTCTCTCTCTCTCTCTATTGCTCACTGTTGTCTCACTCCATCGCTCGACTACATAATGAGTTTGCTCAGCACACTATGATGTGAACTCATTAATGCTAGCCTGTGTTTAAGGAGCTCACGCTAATATGAAAATGATAACTCACATTTGCTCAGGTTTGAATTGCTGGCAAACATTGGGATTCACTCAGTTGAGTCTGGAGTGTGTGTGTATGTGTGTGCTGTAATGTTTGCAGGCTATAACCGTGACGCGTGTGTGTTCGGATGAGCGTGTGTGTGTGTGTGCTGGAGAGCTCAGCTGTGTTATGGCAGATGTTTTCAGCTGATCTGATGCGATTCAACAGCTGTGTTTAACCACCTTACAAACAGACTACCATTACTTCACTCTCTCTGTTGTTCTACTTCTAGTTACATATATAATATAGCTAATTTTAACTTGATTTTTATATACAATTTTATATATTTATTTATTTTTCCAAAAAAAATAATATTCTTTTGTTTATTCAAAATTATTTTATAAGCACTGACCTGAATTTATTTATTTATTTACTTAAAATTATTTTATATGCATTTACCTGTATTTATTTATTCAGCATGCTTATTTTTATTTATTCCATATTTTTATATATACTTTTTATATTTATTTATTAAAAGTTATATTTATTTCAACATTTATATATGCATATTAAATGTGTTTATTTTTTGTTCAAAATTATTTTATATATTTTTTTTTACCAAAATTATTTTCTATTCCTTTGTTTATTCAAAATTATTTTAAATGCCTTTACCTGAATTTATTTATTTATTTACTTGAAATGATTTTATATGCATATACCTGAATTTATTTATTTAATTATTCAGCATGCTTATTTTTATTGATTCCATATTTTTATATATACCTTTTATATTTATTGTATTTATGAAAAGTTATATTTATTTTATTTCAACATTTATATATGTATATTACATTAATTTATTGTATTTTTTGTTAAATTATTATTATTATTTTTTTATCAAAATGTATATTCGAAATTATTTTAATATTTATGTATTTACTTATTTGTTTGTTTTGATATTATTTTATATTTTATTGCAATATTTCTTAATATAATCAAATTTTATGATTGCTTTGTTTGCTTATTTTTTTATTTTATATTTTTTTATTTAGCCAAAATTATTTATTTATTTAAATTATATATTGACCTGAATTTATTCATTCATTCATTCATTTATATAAAATATTTTTTGTTATTTATTTATTACATTTTGTTTGTGTCCAAATAATAGTGATGGACGATGACAGTGCTAATGATGTGTTGTCAGACACTGATGTTCGCATCTATTTGGCACCAGGTGGAAATACACACTTTGATTAAGAGTGTTTCCACTCTCTGATGGAGCATTTGATGGAAATGAAAATCCATTTAGAGGGAGAGAAAGAGCCATGTCAGTTTCCAATCAAGATGTACACGAGCACAACTGAACCCATCTTTCTGACATCCAGACGCCATGCAGTATTTCTAAGTCCTGCAACCTTTTATAATGAGAGATCTGCAACCTATTTCATGCAGATTTCACAGCCACTGATCCGGTTGCGTGATTCGCAGTGATTATTTTTTGCTATTTCTGAAACCCTGTCCTGAAAATACACCTGACGCCACGACACCTGCTCATATCACCGCAGAGAAACCCTGCTTTTCTAATCAAACATCCCATCAAACACTCAGTTTACAGGAAAGAAGTACAAGAGTAATAAAACAATGATGTCAGACGATCTACATTCTCAATCGCCTCTCGAGCTCAAGCGGAGGAAAAGCCATGAATTACATCCGGTCCTTAAATAAGCTGTATATTACCAAGCAATCTCCCTGACATTTAGAGTCGATCTCAAGCGCTTTATGGCGTCTGAAGATGACGGCTGTTCTCTCTTGTGTTTTATTTCCAGGATGAGAAGAACCAGGTCCTGACAACCAACATCTGGCTTCAACTGGTAAAGCTCACTATCATGTGACCACCATATACTGACGTCATTTACATTACATTTATTTCAGATTAATAAAAACTGTAACTGGTCGTGTTGCATATCACATGATAGACTGTGCAATTGTTTGGGGTCGAAAAGATTTTTGGTAACACTTTACTTTGAAGGGGTGTGCATAAGACTGACATAACACCTTCATAATCATGACATGACACATGTCATGAACATGAAGGAGGGTTTATGCATGTTTATGACAACTGTCATTAAGTGTCATTCGCTCAATTATGACATTTTTTATGCAAATATGACATTGTTTGAGATGTTTTTGTTATGACAACTTGACATTACTAAGACAACATAAATTGTCATAAATATGTCATAAACATGACATAGCAGATTAATTATCTAACTTAAGACACCACTTAGCTTTATTGGTTAACATTACATGATTAAACTGTCATGTGGTTGGTTTTGACATTGGCTGTCATGAGGCATTATAATATGTCATGAATATTTTTCTTGAGCTCAACTACAGTGGTACACATTTAATTTGTCATTAACATGTTATAATGGCCTTATGACAGCCAATGTCAAAACCAACACCTGACACTTTAATGTAATGCTAACCCATAAAGCTAAGTGGTTTCTTAAGTTTGATAATTAATCTGCTATGTCATGTTTATGACATATTTATGACAGGTTGTAAAGTTGTCATAACAAAGACACTGACAGGTTATGAAGGATTGGTTTATGTCAAGGTGTCATAACAAAAACATCTCAAACAATGTCATATTTGCATTAAAAATGTCATAATTGAGCGAATGACACTTAATGACAGTTGTCATAAACATGCATAAACCCTCCTTCATATTCATGACATGTCATGTCAGTGTAATGAAGGTGTTATGTCAGTCTTATGCACTCCCCTTCAAGTGAAGTGTTACCAGATTTTTTAATGTTTTTGAAAGAGTCTCTTCTGCTCACAAAAGCTGCATTTATTTGATCAAAAATACAGTCCAGACATAGGCGTCATTTACGGGGGGGGGACGGGTGGGACATGTCCCCACCACTTTTTGCCAGGGTCGATATTGTCCCCACCACTTTTGAAACATCTCGCGTCACGGATGTACCAATACAAATAAAACATCTCCAGTTAACTAGCAGCATTCGTTTCATTCATTTGTTAAATAAGAGGCGATCTAGCGCTGAAATGTGTTGTCTTCACTCGGACGCGCGCTTCAATCCGTTGCAGAGATTCTATTCGTTCCAGAGAAATCACAATTCAAAATGCACACAAACGTGTCCCTGCTTCTCTGGGTTCTAATCCATCCGCACTCGTATAGTTTTTTTTCCCCCCTCATCAAAACCGATAATGTTTATCAGTGATAAAGTATATCAAGATTCTTGATATACAACCACTGATAAACATTAGGTTTTGATGAGGGAAAAAAATACTATACGAGTGCGGATTAGAAGCGTCAACCTCCGACACGCTTGGCAAATATTCCGCCACTGGACCATTACAGTACATAAGAGATGTAGGCGGATCTATGTATATATTCACGTAAAAATTCACGATACTAACAACATTATATTAGATCTCATTTTACGACCAATTAAATTTAAACCCAAAGTACCATCACATTTTTGGTCGGACATCATCACATCTTTGTATACATTTTTATTTATTTAAATCAGTAAGCTACAGGACATCGTCTTTCAAACCATGACCTGCGCGAAAGAGAAAAAAGAATGAATGCGTCATTGTACCCAGCACTTTTGAAAATGCCCTTCCGAATGCGTCTCTGTCCCCACCACATTTCAAACCAAACTGACGCCCATGAGTAC